TGAAACTACTTTGTTTGGCTTTCCAGGAGAGGACACGACTAGAAAGCAGTAGTTAAGTTGTATTTACAACACTGTTCCAGAACACTTCAAACCAAATATTCAGATGTGTGCAGCACATTTTATGGAGGACTGCTTCCTGATCCTGGTAGAGTAGACTACAATGCCGACATGATTTTAGGTTTGCGCGATGCAAGGCAACGCGTAAAAAGACAGTATAAGTCATTATAATCCATAATTATGTCCCCACTGGATGCAACAAATGCCTAGTTTATAATGGGTTTTAATGTTTTTGAATCGTCGCTCCGGCCTGACAGGGCATCACAGTAAGGTAGGGGTGTAACATTTCCTTCACACACTTGAGGTATTTGGCCAATCACAATGCACTGGATAGCTGGCCAATCACAGCACGCCTGGCTTTTCAGACCGATGAGCTTTGTAAAAATCGACGCATTTCAGAAAGGCTGGGCATAGAGGAGAAACAATAATGTACAGTATGTGGAAAATAATTTGTTTTTTGAACCTTAAACCGCATAAACATTTCATTACACCAAATAATGTTCTTTTTAGCAACATCATATGACCCCTTTAAAAGTTGTTTTGTTTTCTTTGCGCTCAAAAAGTATTCTCATAGCTTTGCAAAACTGAAGTTGAGCCACTGATGTCACATGGACTGTTTTTACCGATGTCCTTACTACGTTTCTGGACCTGGGAACATTACAGTTACGTTGCTGTCTATGCAGGGTCTGAGAGCTGTCACATTTCATCCAAAATATCTTGATTTGTGTTCCGAAGAAGAACGAAGGTCTTACGGGTTTGGAACGACATGAGGGTGAGTAATTAATGACAGAATTTTCATTTTTGGGTGAACTATACCTAGAGGAGAGCAAGGACATGACTGTTGCAGAACCATGATGAATGTGGTGAGGGGAAAGCTACACACACAGAACTTCCATTTTAAATAGTAATAGTGACTACAGTCTATGGCCTGAGCTGCTGAGACAGACCAGATACCCTACATCGGACCAGTAGTGTTAGATGATGAATGGATTTAAGGATTACAGGGGAGAAAAAAAATGTGTTTCTCTGTAATCCACAGTAAAGAAAAACCATAGTAAAAATTAGTTAAAATGGGTCTGGACTAGAGTGTCAACTAGAGAATAAGACTTGAGCTGCAAACTTAAACATCCGTCTTCTGCTTTTCTGGGACCAGGTCATGGTAGCAGCAGACCAAGAAGAGCAGCCCATATGTAATCCATTAATACATGTAAAGGCCCTGGAGAAGAGGTTAAATGAGTCACAAGAATGCTATAAAGTAATAACAAAAATCACTCTGAAGAAAGGCCATTTCACTGAACAGTGTGGGAGAGAGAAAAACAAAATGGCATTTTGTGTGGGGTAACAGACATCATGGCAGTGAGAAAACCCAGCAGACAGAATGGCACAGTATGACAGTAGCCCTAGCCATCCATATCTGTAGAAGGGAGGGGGAAAAAAATGAGAAAATAAAATTAAAACCTAGATATAACCATAGTGCACAGGCCTGATATTCATCAAATCTTATAGTTAAGAGTTACATATCCTTTTATATTCCTTATGTTATCAATTGCACAAGAATTTCCATAAATAACTGGTGCCGATACAAAAATGTAATACTATACTCAAAACAAAACCATTTCAGAACACTTATTTTCTTTGCCACATTTTTCAATATGTTTGCAGTTTCCTTTAGGCCATTGCTCTGCGGATTTCTAGTTGACTGAAACAAACTCTCCAAAAGGACTTATCTATATTTGGTTCCATTCAGGTTGTCCTTGATGCTAATAAGCTTTCCAGTTCCTCCTGTTGAAGTGAACACATGATGCTGTCACCAGTGTTATGTGAGGGTTTAACTATATTTGGTTTGCACCCAATAAAATGCTTTCCATTTAGACAAAAAAGTTCAAGGCTTCAACAAGCTTACTTTTTTTTCCTTCTTACAAATTCATCTCTACACTCCACAGACAACAGGATTAATGCGCATTTCTATTTCAGTTATGAAAGCTCAACTGAGCAAAACTCTCAAACTGGAATTAATGACGCCATCAAGCAATTGAATACAGGTGGACTCGAATGAACATTAGGTTATAATTAGCACGATTTTTTTTTTTTTTTTTTACAATCAACCTCAGTCTCACATTCAGATCTGCCTCCATCCATTAGTCTGCTCATTATTTTGCTGCGTTTCCTGTATGTTGGTGACAAAAACCCAGTTGTTCAGTTATTGTATCACTCAATGCTCACAAAATGAGCCAGACAGTCTCCATCTCCCATTAAAACCGCATCTGTTACAAAAATGAAAAGACACATTGTGATATTATTTTCATTTTAGCAGCTTAATACGAAGAACAACTCACTTATGTTTTGCCACATAGAGAATAACACTTCATGCTTACTAGAGGGCATGGGAAACTCAGCCCAGGATTGAGATCCCGTAGAGGAAATAGATTCATCTACCTGAAAAAATAGAGACACATTTTGGCCAAAAGATCAAACTTAGTCATCTAAAATATTAGGGACCAGGGTGAGAGAAGCTGCTGTCGGTATGGATTCATCTCATTACTCACCATAAGGGTGTGTGTTGCTCCGGAGAGATCTGGTGTGAATGCTTCATTCTTGTATAAGCTTCCCCATGTCACTCACACATTAGCTGAGGTGAAGAACCATCATCACACATTCGCAAATGAGGTTTTGTAAAATATCAGATTATAAGCATCCAGTTTTCCCTTTTGTCTCTATTCTCTATTTTTTAGTCCCTACTGCATTGTTTCTACTACACTCTCACGGTACTCCACCCATCTCTCCTCCCTGCATTTCCCAATCCCCATGACTGATATTTGGGATGATCGCTGGATAATGACTTCCAGTGGACTAATTGTGATAATGTAATCGTGTGCTTTGATGTTTCCTGGGATCCGCTCAGCTAAAAGATGTTAATTAGCATGAAAAGAGGAAAGACAAGGAGGGATTTTACGCTAGATACTCTTCCCCCTAGATTTGGTGTGTGTAATCAGAAAGTTAATACTGTATTCTCATAATCCCTAGTGCGCTCCATTAACACCTTAACATCGACTCTTTAACTGAAGCGCATATTAATCAACAGTGCTGGCAGTCTTAGCCTCAATAAGCTTACTGAGTTCAGGTGAAGTCAGTTCACTTAGTGGCCATCTTATAATGTTCCCCGTAGGCCTTTTTCATTAGTAGTACACATTCACCTAAATAGGGAAACGCAGAAATCTCCTAAACAGTTCATTTAAAATCAAATGAATAAAATTTGACAGCAATCATATATTTAGCTTATTAGCTCTAATCACACTGTTCATGATACAATAAATTTACATTTACAACTAGGCCTTAAAAACTACATAACCATAAATAAACATGTTAACGTTAGGTTATAAAATGTTTCTGGGCTAAAGCATCTCCAAAAGACTTATATGACAGAGCACTAGTTCTCAAAATTACTTTTCAAAAACATTAAGATTATGGTGATTAACATATCCGTGTATTATGCTGGTGTCACTACTCGAGCCGTACCGGAAACACGATTTGTACTGCGCATGTGCGGAAATGCGTCTACTTCCTGTCTGAAGTATGACGAAACAATTTACGACAGTTTGGGGTAGTTATAATATTGTTGTAATAATACTAATAATAATGTAATGTTTTCATGTGTTGTTGACACTACCCGATCCATACCAGAAATACTTCTTTACTAGTGATTCTCTTGATATAAATGCACTTTTTTGTTAAAATATATCAATTCAATTATATTGATTAAATTGAGTAATCGATTACATTTGCACAATTAATTTAGTAAAATTAAATAAAAGAAAAAAAAACATTAAATAGTTTACACTTGCTAGACTCTATTTGGGTAATACTTTTAGCAAATGTCTGCAATATAACAAAGAGTGAAAAATGTAAGGGGGTCTGAATACTTTCCGTACCCACTGTAAGCATGTGTTTTACATTACATTTTTTATTTTCTAAAGATACGTTTTACTTATTTCAGCATACTTTAACAAATGTCTGCATCTAAGAAACACAAAATATTTATTTATTCAATGTATTTATTCATAAATTCAATCATTCCCTCCTTCCCTCACTCATCTACTACAATTGCTGATTGAGGAACATGGCATTGACCTTCAGGCCTTGTTCATCAACACAGTATGACAAAAAATGTTTCCATGTCATCTTGAGACTGAAATATAAACAACAAGTCATCCTTTGCTTCAGGGAATTCACTCGCCAGGGCCTTCCGGAGTACATTTGGTTGATCTTCACTGTTCATCTGCAGAAAAGCAGGCTTACCTCTCTACGGAGCAAGTCTCTGTGATTGTGTACACAGTACCAAGCTGTATGAAGGTCTCTCACAATGGTAGGCTGATGCACCTGGTGAAGAACACATTATAATATAAAATACAAATATATAATGGCAAAAAATAAAAAAACATTTATCCAACTTGCTACAACATGTGGATTGTTTTGACCGGAAATTTAGTCATTCAAATGTTGCATGGGCAGGAATTAAATTTAATAATACGTCTTCATGACTGAAAAACGATAAAATTATTTTGTAGGTTTGGGTTTAATTGATTAAAGGTAAACATTTAATTCATCCAGCTATTTTTGGTGTCTGTGTCATAAAGGTCTTTCTAAATCGCTCCAAACGATTCGGCACGACGTGACTGAGCTGTCCGAATGATTCAGACTGAATCGCGAATCGATTGAAATCCTAAGCATTGAAGTGAATCAAACGAGTGACTCGTTCGTGAATCGGTAGTTCTGATTCAATCAAAACAATCAACAGATAACGTGGCACTCAAGCGGCACAGGTGGTTTTCTCCGGCCGCTATTTAGTATAATATTTCTCGTCAAATTAAAACTTGTGAGTGAATTTGACTCAGGTACACTAGTGTTTTACTGGTCAACAGCCAAGTGAAAATGGCTTGGTTAAATCGACCATGCAGCCGAATGGATTGTTCCGGGTTCGGTCTCCAAATGACATTGTTCCAGGCCACTGCTCGGCTTTCAAACACCAAAACCACCACAAGAGGGAGCCGTTCACAATAACTGCAGGTGACAGGCCTTGTTATTTATCCAACACTCCTGTTAGTTACATGCAACTAGGATGTACCTGTTAAGGCTTAAATGATATGAAGCGTCTCTGTTTTCTTTACAATACTGCATTGAGCAAAGTCAGCAGTCAGCTATGAACTGCAATAAAGAGTTAAGTGCAGAAGCAGCATTCAAGTATCTATGGCTAGGCATCTGTTCTCATTGTTACTGACATGCTGTAGCAGTGTACCTGTAAATTTCCCACCAGTTTATGAGCACTTATTCATGCATCTCAGCACAAAGCCGTCCCCATATGCTGTGATTTAAAGGGGGCTGCTGATGGGGAACAATGCATTGTCGGCAACACAAACACGGCAGGAGGGAATAATGGGAAACACGAGGCATATAGATAGATTTATGTCTCCAGCTTATGTTTGATTGTAAACATTTGTGTATAGATAAAGTGTGTTGAAGTTGCAAGTACTGTGAGACCTGTTGTGTGTTGGTTCCTCTCGCACCTTTCCCCCCTAATAGTAGAAGGGACCGAATCTCAGGGGACTTGTTACCTTGGAAACAGAACCTTACTTATTTATAAAGTCTGAGAGGAGAGAGAAAAAGAACAGGAACAGATAAGAAAAAGAAACCTCCTTTCTTTCTCTCTCCTCAACATCTGGGGGCTGTTTGTTCGGTGAGGCACGTCTCCTAAATATTCATATCGAATTCAGCATCACACACCTCTAGTTCAGTGCCATAGTAACCTCATCCAATGTCTCCCAGGAGAGAAAACAGGCGCATGCATCACACATGCACGCTCGCATGCACTCACCCGGCATTAATCGCATTGATCGCTGAATCTATGGGCCCTTTGAAATTTGAGGGCAGTTATTCATTTGACAAGCTCGACAAGTCCACCACACAGAGCATCTCTCCTCCCCTCTAAACCCCGAAGGACTGTTTGAAGGCCATCGTGGAGGAAAGATGGATGGATGAGAGTTTATTTCTCCTTTATTCCCCACACTGCCATAAAGGAACAAAGTATAATTGAGAAGACATTTTTCTTCATATTTCTTTGCAAAGTTAGTGCTTTGTTATAGCTGATCGAAGTATGTTAAAGGTCATGTCTATGTCACCTCATCAATTCATAATTCCATGCCTTCTTTTTATGGAGGGCTAGAAGTGACACATGAAAATAAAATGAAGGAATCTGTTATTAATTTAAGAATTCAAACATAAAAATGTAAATAGAAAAAAAATTAATAGGGAAACAAATTTGATATTATTTGAAACTTTAATTCATGAAGTTAAGTAAAATAAAATGCTGAAATATTGTTTATTTATTAAAATCTAAAATGCATATTTAAAATTGTTTATTTAATTCATATTCAAATAGTAAATTTGACTTTTATGTGAATTGTTTTTAGATGCACATCCATCCATCTCAACAAACTGTTTGCTCTACAATTCAAATTCAGTTTTTTTCCCATAGTAGGCAGTCAGTTTTTTTTGTTTTTTGTTAAATAATTATGAATGAAGTTCAGTGATTTCTAAGAGTTGAGAACGGCATATTGTAAATGTCTGTTTTTATCTTGAGTGCCCCTTTAGTTATTCATTGTGTGTATGCAGGTGTAAATGTGCATGTGTGATCTCACCTTTATGCATGTTTGATGCATTTTGTGTTTATATACAGTAGGAACATGGTTTTGCTCTTTGCTCTGTTTGAGTATTTGCACATCTGTGAACATTTCATTGGTTATCTGACCTCTTTTATGGTGTCAGATCACATTTTCCTCTGCATCAAATCGACAGCTCACATCCAGCTTCACACGCAATCTCTGGCACACAAGCTATAGGGTCATTCCGTGTCAAATCAACCCGAATTTCAGAAACTTCACATCAGTGACATTTAATATTTTGGCCGTCATCACCATACTTGTTTTAATTTTTTTTTTGACAAAATCAAAAATTTGAGCCAGGGGACTTCTGGTTGAGTTGACACTGAATGACCTTATACTATAAGGACATTGAGTGATAGTTTTCTCTTGTGTGTACATACGCATTAGGGGTGTAACGTTCTCGGTAAAAAATCGAACCGTACTGTTTTCCACTCATGGTGCGGCACACACTTGCACCACGGTACAACTTAAATTTGACAATACATCTGTAATGTGGCTTGTTAAAAATAACACGTAAAACAGACAGAGTTCGGCTAATGTATGTTTCTTTCGATGGGTATGGATTCTGGCTTCCCAATACATTACAACAACAGCGATGGGAAAAAAAAGAAAGAAACGTGGACAAACCAGTAAACTTTGTTCAATGCGAATGTGTATATTTCTAAATTAAAACTAGAATAAGAGAACAATAGACTAGAATAGTAGAATAATAGAATAAATGCTGCCTAAAAAACAGTATTACGACGTTTTATTATTAGTGTATTTAAAGATGTTGACAACTTATTCTAAATGTCAAAGTAGAGAAAATGTACATTTTGACTCAAAACATTCTATGTTTCTAAAGCCAATGTTTTGATGAATAGTGATTTTTGAGCACAAACATGCACAGGTTTCACATACATGAGTGCGTACAGTAAATTAAATTTAGTGTTTGTAATTCTGATGCCTTTTTTTCTGTCCCCTCCTAAAACTTGCTGTGCAATAGATGCTGTAATGGCCTGTCACATTCAGATCTCATCAGTGCCCTGTAAACACAGCTCCCCACAGTTTCTTTACTTTCCTCATCTCACGAAACAATGCAAAAATACAGCAACCCTCCACCATCATCATAGTTGCCATGGAAACCCAAAGGTCTGGGTTGGTGTGTGATGATGTGTACTGTGCTTTAGGGTTATGATTTGAGGGGAAATTCACTCTTTATATGTCAGAATGGTCATTCCATAGAATCTGCAGAGATTAAACTATTTGACATTTTCCAAGGTAACAATTGTAATGCAATACTGTGAAGTGACTGCATATGAATGAGGCTCGAACAGAGATGGGTAGATAAGTATTATCGAGAGAGGACCTGAGTCTAATGGCATATAATATGCCCATCATAATGATCATAATGTGCTTTATTGGTCCACAAGGAAAGACGGACAGCTGTCATTCTCATCCATGAAAGCACACACAAAAAAAGAAGATTCCTTAATACTGATTTTGAAGCAAGTAAAAAACAGGGTTTAGCAAGCAAAGGCAGATAAATGTGGGCAGAGGCATGTAAAAAGGTATTATTGGTAAAGGAGAAGCTGATTTCAGTGTAAATCCAGATGGTGAGAAGATGGGATGTCAATGTGTGATGAAGAATCGAGGTTATTGAATTCTCTGTGCCTCACTGTGCTTTTCTACAGTTATCCATCAACCTGGCTCTTCATCGCTATACCATGGCACAATGCAATAAGGCCTTAATATATATAAGCAAAAATGTGAAGGTCAAACTAAAGATGTTCGCTTGTTTGTGTATACCTCTGAATGAAGTATAAAATGTAGATACATGAGTGTAATGAAATGGAGAGCTGTCATTGGATGCACAAAATTCTAATTCTTATTGGATTCACAGTATTCTTGTGTATTTATTTTTTCTCAAACATTAGGAATCAGTGAATTGAACTTGATGTATCAAATCTTTTGATGCTAATGGTATACTGATATACTGTTATACAGATAACATATGTGACCCTGGACCACAAAACCAGTCATAAGGGTACATT